CAATCATAACATCACTGTTTCATTTTATCTTTAAGTAAAGTTGGTTCGAGCCCAGAACACAATTCAGATTTTTCATGTGGCCCCCCTATAGAAATTAATTGCCCACCCCTGCAGTACAGCTTTTTCTCACTCTTTTTTGACTATGAGGGTTACTCAATTTCTTCTATGGGATTCTTGCCCCAGCAACAGTAGATATGAAAATTGTCTGAACTGAATTTACCCATTGCCCTCCAATTTAGTTCACTAACGCCCAGGATGTCAATGTTTATTCTTGCCATCGCCTCTTTGATCACATCCAGCTTACCAGGATTCATAGATCTTACATTCCAGGTTCCTATGCAGCATTTTTCTTTGTAGCATTGATCTTTCCTTTCACTTCCAGGCGCATCTGCAGCTGAGCGTCCTTTCAGCTTTGGTCCAACCACTTCATTAGCTCTTGAGCTACTTGTACTTGTCCTCCACTCTTCCTCAGTAGGATGTTGGACGCCTTCTGACCTGAGGGGCTTATCTTCTAGCATCCTATCTTTTAGCCTTTTGTCTCTGTTCATGGAGTTTTCTTGGGAAAGATACTGGAGTGGCTTGCCAGTTCCTGCTCCAGGTGGATCACGTTTAGTCAGAACTCTCCACTATGTCCTGTCCATCTTGGGTGTCCCTGCACAGCATAGCCCATAGCTTCTCTGAATTACTCAAGCCCCTTCGCTATGACAAGGCAGCATTAGTTTGGAATTAGCACCATTTCGTTATAGAAAGGGATAACATTTGAACAAAATACAGTTAAAGGGGTTGAATCCTTGCTTGGCCATGGAAACTCACTTGGGGTGGGGTGGAACTGGTAAAACCACGCCTTGAAGTATCTCACCTTGAAAAACCTATTAGGGTTCCTATAAGTAAGTTCCGACTTGATGGAACATAACACACATATTACTAAAAGGGTGTGGAATGCACAATGGAATAAATTCTCTTCCACTACATCTCATACAAAATTAAGGAGCAGCAATATAAATTATTCTTCAGATGGTTTTGTCAGCTAAAAGAATCAGATTGATCATGCAATTAATTCTAAATGCTGGGGGGGCGTTGTATCTTCCTCAGCGGTGGACATGTAACACGCTTCATCATTTCCAATAACCAGCTTTTAATGATATTCAAATGATTATAATGGTCCAAAGACATACAATGTTACTGTAATTAGTTCAGCTGTCACTATTTGTAAATGAAAATGCAGATGGGTCACAAACAGAGCCTCCCCAAAGAATTTGAGGTCCGTAGACACATTAGCTATCTGTAGGGCAAAAACAGCAGAGTATCCAAAATAGAGTGTGGCACAGAGGCTGGTAGCTAGGCAGCATAGGATGGAAGGTATCAGAAGCTCACACACCACAAGGAACATATCAAAGCCCTTACAATATTATTGGATGAGATATTTCCTTGATGATTTGACAAACAAGGAGTGAAAGAAATATTAATGAAAGAGCAAAACATGAAAATAAACAAAACTTGAATGTCTTTCTCTTTCATTAATACAAAGCATTTTTGTTTTAGAGGCTCTTTTTCAGGACTCAGCAAAAACCATGAAAATAAAGAGATTGAAACAAGTTCTTTGCTCTTTAAAATATTTCTAGACTATGGAAGTCTGATGCTTCCAGATAAACAAATGTTTATTTGTGGATGATAATAAAGAACAAGACACATGCTGCTTGAAAGTAAAGTTTTAGGCATTTTATTCCAATCATTAATGTCTGCTGTTTGAATATATTATATAAACTGTATAAATAATGTTATTTCCAGAGTTCAGCTTTAGTAGTACTAAATGAAATCAGTTGGTATGCATCAGTTCTACAATGCCAAATGTTTACAAAAATGAAGACCTTTTTAGAAAGAATAGTGGCTTTTATTGCATTAGAAAACACTGGACTATGAAAGATTTTAAAAAATCAACTGTAATTAATGCAGGGTTTTTTTGCTTTTTTACAATCTTTATGCTGTTTTATTGTTAGAGAATTTCTAACATTCTGCCCCAGATCTTTAAAACTACTTTTAACATGCATTGATACTAATATTGTACATGTTCAAAAATGAATGTTCTTGGCTAAAACTGGAGAATGTATGATTTACCTGAGATTTTTGTACATTAAAATTGCCGTTGATATCCATTCCTAAAACTTGCAAGCTGATGATTTAGCTTTTCAGTGTTTGCATGCAATCAAAATACCACTGTACAAACTTTCCTAGAGGTAGCTGATTAAGCTGCCTCAATCCCCCCTCCCCGCTCCCCACCTGGATACAACAAATTCAACAATTCCTGCAAGAATGTGAATTTAACATAGGACTCTAATTCATAGGCATTAAAGTTGCTAAACAATTGCAAGAATGCAATGGATGCTCTTTTTCACTACTCTGGCAGGCAATGATCCATTCTTCCAGATGTCTTATCAACTGACTTTTGGGACACAGAAACTTAAGCCAGATTCTCTGTTTCAACCTCTGCATTAGTCAAGTCCAAAGAAGAGGAAAGATGAACATCCTTTCCTTCAGATGTAACTCTTACATCCTAGAGAGAACAGCCAGCAGTGAGAGATAAGGAACAGCAGTCAAACATTTGGAGGACGACATGTTCTCCATCTCTGCCATAGATAGAAAATCCAGGTCCCTGCGGACAATTTCAAATGTTTTGACCCTAGCAATTCTTCCAATAGTTCTCCCATATGCAATTATGTCAGTATCACAATTCTTTCAAAAGAAAATTAAGCTACTTTTTCAGGATATAGAGCAGAGGTGGGAACCAGATGTTACAAAACTATTAGCCCCATTAACCATCACCACTAGTCAGGCTGGCCAGGGCATATAGGAAGAACTAGAGTCCAACTGCATCTGCAAGGTCATACTGTATCTTCCTTAGCCCTAGCATAGACATTTGCATGTTTTAATAGATTTGGCACTGATAACTGAATTGTCAGAAAAGAACAGGGTAGAAAAGTCAGACCATATGACTTCTAGGAAAAAGAGTTCATGCCCTTAATAGATGTACACAACACCAAAAATACCATCTAAATGGCCCAAATCCTATTATTTATGTATGTCAGCGTAAGTCAAATAGCATGGAGCCTTAGTGGTGAATTGCTGCTAATTAACTTGCTGATGTTTGCATTTCTTATTGCATGCCACCCATGTGACATGGCACACAACAAAGAATACAAACAATGATTCCTTAACAAGCAGATATGTATTACTGAGATTTATGCCATTTGACTTATACCAGTGTATGTAATTAACAGAATTCTGGACAATATGTATTAAGAATGCTCTCCTAAATTATCACAAGAGAAATGAACACAAGCAAAAGAAACCATGAACTTCCACAATGAAGTAAAATATTTTAAGCTGTCATTTATAACGCTAATTCGTGACAAGTATTTGTGAATATCACTGCAGCTTAGAATGATCTTGAAAATCACTCTATGAGGTAGTGTAGTTTTTTTAAATACATGCTGGTTGTTAGAAGTACTGTTCAGATGATGTATCTGGCCAAACGTTCACTATGTATGTTTACACTATGTTTTATGCAAATTTGCTCTTCTACAGAATAAATCACCGATAACATAATCACTGCTTCAGTATGTTAGAGGAGATGGCAGATTTGCCATTCAAGAATTCTGCAAGGCATACAGTAATTACAGAAAATTACAGATGATCATTTTCCAAACACAGATACAAAAATTGATGTCTGAGCTGAGGTAGGAAATGAAGAATTCCATTGGCTTTTACGTTTTGTAAACCAGCAAAAGTGTTTTGAGGTTCAGCAGGTAAAGCTTCTGTTATTAAAGAGGAATTATGCAATTAAAGAATTTATATGGATTTTCTGTAATTAATATGTTGCAGAAAAGCCTACAGTAAAATGCTCTATTTGCTTATTTTAATAGACAAAACTACCAAAGAATCCAAAGCGGCTTTTTTTTTCATAAACAAAGTACTAGCCATTGAAATCTAAAACTGAATAGTTACAATTAGCTTTAATCATAAAGGCATCCATGTAAAACAATATTTTTCAAAGGTATCTGAACTGGTCCCACTATTAATATAAAAGTTAAAATCCTTCCAGAATCTTTGACCATTTTAATTCTCCTTTCAACAACCACTCACCAGATCTGAAGTAGGAAGTATAACCAACTATGGTATATTAAGCAGAAATGGAAATGTATGGGAACAGTGGAAGGGTAATAAGATGTTAAGAATGGGTATGACTCAATGCTTCCAAATACAAGGTGTTTTGTTTGTTTGTTTGAGCTTTTGTTTTATTACCGAATTTATTTTTAACTCTTCTAGCTTGTAAATTTTGAGAGAATTTAAAAGACAAAAAAGGGGTTTTTTTTACTTTTCATGGCACTGGCAGCCAAAATTATCTAAGCTGCAGAAATTCCCTTTTTTTGTAATAAGGCATGCTACAAATTTAGGATGACATCTTCCTATATGTCATTAGAGAAAGGCCCACAATTACATCCAGATTTGAATGAGGATAGTAGATTAAATACAAATGCAGTTATACCATATGGAAAATTCTACCTTTCTACTTTAGGACCAATGCTTCAGTCCTGTAAGGATGAGTTTGACAAAAAGATTATTCATCTGTAGTGCATTTGTCCGTCATCTGTTGACAAAAATCTGTGATACCACTACCACTTTGCACACACTGCTCCAAACACAATGTTTTATCAGATATTCTTACAGGAACTGGGCACGGCTCTTGCGCTTGATCGTACCCTGTATTACATGCTTCTTTTATATGCTGATAACCAGAACTCTGCTCATTAGTTGATACCACAGAAAGACCGGCTGGTATTTCAGCACATAATAGCACTGTAGATATGCCATCAGAAGTTGCTGGCTGTTTCCTCTCAGGGATCAAAAATGAGAGCGGACAATCAGAGGCAGAATATTTTGCAAGAATCTGTATTTGCTCATGACTCAGTGCTGCTTCTTTGCAGACTTGTTGACAAAGTCCTGTCAAATTCTGTTTTGTCTCAGCCAGTGTTGATAAGATGTGATCTTTCTCTTTCAGTAGGTTTTCTTTTTCACTTTGCTGCAAGAAAACAAAGTGGTTGTGAGTTCCGTACTTGCTAATGTTATTTTAATTTTTCATATCAAATTACATATAACTGCGTGTGCAGCAATTTAAAAAATTGTAATAAAGGCTTAAAACAGTATGATGAGTATACTTCTACAAATGAAACTATATTTAAACCATACAAAAAACCATATATAGGAAAAACACTAGAATTATTTAGGCAGGAATTTTGCTGTGGAAGTACAGAGATGTAATAGACTGCATTTCTGCAAGGCTATTCCAGTGCAGTTCAATCTTCAGATCTTAAAGGACCTTAAGCAGTAAGGCAAGAAAATACCTTCACTTCATACCCTAGAGAAGTGCTATCAGCCATTGTGGACAACATTTATGGCATCCTTTGATAGCAGTCTCCCCACCTTTGGCCTCCCATGATAATATGTTATGACCTCAAAGTGCCTGCTGTAAAAACAAGGAGTTACAAATGGTGACTCAAGAAGGATAGTAGAAACTGCATGAATAAAAAATTCCTCAGCTTCTCTGAGGTCCTAACTGTGATCAAGGCTTCTTAGCACACTACATGTAGTGCAACATACAGCCTTCTGCAATATATTATGGGTACAAAATAGTTTTCCATGACAGACTCTGATCTCTGTTCCATAAAAACCTGTTAACATTCCTGTGACATTCAAGTCTATCTGACATATATACATCTTATTCTAGCAAGGACCTGTTAATTAACATCTTGATAACCCCATTCCTGTGGTAAGGAAGGACAGGTCGATTCTCTGTAACTGTAGTTATTTAAGTGGTCATCTGTGAATTCCCTCTGCTCCTGTAGAAACTCTTCGGACCCTTCCAAAGTCCAGCAACAGCAAAAAACAAAACAAGCAAAAAAAAAAAACCAAACCACAAACAAACCACCTTCCACCCAACCCTTACTATGCATGTTCCATAGCAGCCAAGAGCTGCTCAGTTCCTTACAATCTGTCACTGAGCAACAAAAGAGATATAAAGTGTGATGGACTGCGGGCAAGCAGGGACAGATGTGTGAATGAATAGATGACCACTTAAAGAACTATAGTTACAGGTAAGTAACCTGTTCTTCTTCATTATGATCTCTATGAATCATATACTGGGCAACTAGCAAGCTCACTTGCCCGATGGAGGAGTCATGATAGCAGAGGTGAGAGAAGGAAGCATCAAGCCTAGTAGGTACTTCTAGTGCTTGACAAATGTTAGACTGGGACCAAGTGACCCCTTGCAGATATATATGCACTGCCTGTTCACCTCATTTCATTGCTTTTTAATCCCGTTACCGGACCGTTTATTTACAGTTACAACATATAAATGTGAACTATATTAATTGCAGACATTTTTTTTCGAACATTAGCGGTACAGTTTGTGGAAATTGCTGCCAAGGGGGTACAGAAGTGGGAAAAAGTTGTGAACCACTGCTTATCTTTATCTTTTTTCCTTAGGCTTCTTAGCCTTAGATGTGTCAGTTTCACCTGGTTCCCTCCTTCTTTTTCAGAGATTGACTCATTGGTTTTGTTCTGATGCAGTCCTCATTGAAGTGGCTGGAGTCAGTTTCAAAGCAGCTGTCTCCTTCCTTGAGGATGGCTGAGCTAAGTTCTGAATTGACTGTGCCAAGGAAGGCTTGTGCTGGATACTGTCTATTATTATTTGCTTTGACAGGGTCTTACAAATGGAGATTGAGGACTTCAGTTGTGAGGTAGGGTCAGCAATATTATCAACAACCTTTAGAGACCTTTCGCAATGGAAAAAAATTAAACTGTGTTTGGCAGGTCTTACACCCAACTCGTCACTAAAGTTTTACAAATTTGACAAAATTGGGTCATATGACCCTTTTCCGGGCAGTAAAGGCACTGGAAGCATCCGTCCGAAAGTAGGATTTTATTTGAACATGACGTGCACTTTCTAAATGGGCCTGAAGTACAGGAAAAAGAGGCAGAAAATATTTAGAGATAACAAAATGTCAGAAAAAGTATGTAATAGGGTGAAAGCAAAAACATTCACTCTGGAAGCAATAGCCTCAGTGACAGTAAACCGGGAATGGTAGTAATTTTGGCTGGTATGGAGCATATTTAGTAAGGGTTTGGGGGAAGGTTTTTCCCTCTCCCTAGGCTGTGGAAGGTTCTGAAGAGATTATGTAGGAGCAAAGGGAACCTCAATGTTGTCAGAGTATAAAATTTACAGACCTGAGCAGAACAAATATACTAATGAGCAGCCATGATGTTCAGGTGTGTCAAAATGCTGAGTCACTGTGACTCAGGAGGACTGGCTCAAAGATATGCAACATCTGTGCTGATTGGACACAGCCAGATGCATAAGTGTATATATGTGGACTGTGCAGAGATGTATTCCTGCTATTCTGATGAACTCATAGTATCATGCTGTCATTCTGTATATATGCAAATATCCTGGTGGTGGTAGAAGCTGATTTGTGTCTGTGTGAGTCATTTTGCCACAAGGACCTTGAAGTTACTCTGCTAGAATTTTCCATGTGTTCACGCACTAACAAATGTGTACCTCACAGAGACTATAACAAAGAGCTAGTGTCAAACTGACAAAATTGCCAAGATCCATCAGAAAATTCAGGTGGGATAATCATCAGGTTATATTCGGTCAGTACCAATATGTTGACACAGTATCTTATACAATACAGGTTAAAATCACGGTCACTTTCCTTACCCTTCTTTTATCTGCTATAAAGCTGGAATGGATGTCCAGTTGTAAATAGAAAAAGAAAAAGAAAACATCTGTTCAAACAACTGGTATAACCAGATGCATGAACAAAGCCAGGAGCGTCACCACAATCTAAACCTAAGTGGGCAAAGTATAGCTCATGGATTCTATTTCAATCATATTCTGGTGACAACACACATTGTTTCCATATAGTCAGAGAGCTAAACTCTAATTCAACCATACTCTGAGCTAAATAAACCTCTATTCTACATCTTGGGAGTACAACTAAAATAAAAATTTAAACAAATTAAACTTAAGGCAATATACTATATAATAGGATGTCCAGTTGTGGTGGTATATACACAACTGAAACATCCATCTATTTTAACATATTTTACTTATTTTTATATCTTTTACGTATTTCAGTTAGCCTTTATCTATTTTTGCTTACTTTTCATCTCTTTTAAAATATTAACTAAGTCCCACCTCTTAAACTTAACCTATAAACCCTTTGGGCATACAATCCTTGAACAATTAGTTGGTCAACTTAAAAAGCGGCTCCTGACCCCACAGGAACTGCTCATCCCTGATTTTAAAAAGTGAATGCAGTGGTGGAAATTGTGCAGCTTACAGGTTGCATGCAGTACCCAAGACCAGTTTCATAGTCCACAAGGCCCTCCAAGATTCCATACCACCTTCATTTAAAAAAAGAAATCATTTCCCCAAAACATCAATTTCTTCTCCTGGAAGTCTCCAGCAGCAGCAAATTTCCACTGAAACAATACATAAGACTTCTCTTGTGCCTCTTCCCCCAACAGAGCTTTTATTAAACTGGAAGTGAATTTAACCCAGTCCTGGTTGTTCTGCTTTCTATTCTTATTGTCATGTTTGGGACTGGTGTGATCCCAGCGGATCTAGAGACCGAGTAATGCCAACTGGATCTTGCATTAATGAGCAGCATTCTGAGGTGTGAACCATGATTTGGTCTGCAAAGCACTTATTTGTGCAATATTCCAAGAAACAAAAAGAATGGGACTAACGCGATCTCTAAGACCTAAGAACAAACCAATGTTATGTACAACCATAATCAACTTTTCTTGTAATGCGTCAGTACTCCAGAAGAAACATCAGTGATTTCCTGTTTGCTCCATGTATGTTTGTCATAACTAAAAGGAGTAAGTTGTATCTAAGATATGCAATGAGAGCTGAGATACATATTACAGTGCAAAAGGATTATGAGACCTTTCCCACCTTTTTGCGTTTTTACTAAGTGACTTAGTCTGTAATACTGATTCAGAACAAGATAATCCTTTTGGTCACTGTTTGAAACTCAAATTCATATATTCAGCCATTCAAATTCAATGACGCATCAGATTACTGCTCCCCCTTTTGATTATTCCTTTTCCATGAATTACAGAATCATGTAAATGTTCAATTAGCATCCTCCATTTTGTTTTTAGCACGCAAGCTGTAGCAATCAACATAGTAAAAAGTATGTTATGCATATTACAGATATACAATGACTGAAATCCTCTTCGCATAAGTTACAACACGTAAGGCTGGTCATGTCATCAGCTGAAATGACTTTAAAAGAAACTGTATGTACCACCCTTAGCAATTTTTGTTAATGAAAGTCTTCCTACCCTCATTCCCCCATTCACTCCCAGTGATGAAAGGGACTACCCAATATTAAATGTAATACATTTGGGCAATTCTTTTTCCTAACATTATTTGTCTTTCAACCAAACCAAGCCCAACAAAAACTGTACATGCCGACAGCCAAAACCCAGTCCAAAACTTACATCTTTTGAGATGACAGTATTGCAGAATCTTGACCTCGCAGGTTTAGCTTTGTTGAACTCCTCAGCAAAAAGTGATTTGAGGGCAAAAAAAGAGGTTCTTTTCTGGTACTTAGCTGTTAAAGGAACTAGGGCTATAGCTAAAATTATCTAAATTTGGGACTTATTTGAAAATATGTTTTTAAAATCTGAATACCTACCAGTTTCTCTATTTCAGATTCAAGGTTCTGGATGCAGTCAAGCTTTCGCTTACGACAACGCTGGGCAGCAATTCTATTTTTACTTCGCCTTCTAATATCATGGATACAATCCAGCTCTTCTGGTGTCAATTTGTGCATTTTCAGAAATGACTGAAAGTCATTCCTAGAAAGTGAAATTAACTTCTGTGGATTCAATGGTAGATTCATCTGGAAAGCAGATACAAATTCAGACTCAATTTTAAACAACAAAGGAACTGGCACATCGAAGTGTGTTTTGAAAAAAGGATCCATGACCCAGTACAACCAGTAAGGTGGGCAATTCGTTTGGCTGCAGATCCCACCATCTGTCAACACTGCCTATGGCTAATGAAAATTCCAGCCCAGGAACATAAATTCTGCACATCCAATTCATTTTAAGACTCATAAGGACCAAAATAACAAACCTCAACTTTTGTCTTTTAACATCTGTATATTGTACATCAACACCTTAAAAGTTTCAACAATGTCTAGTCACCTTGAAATTTATATCAGATAGAGTAATTTACGCAGTAAAGTAGTAAACAACTTAAACAGTATGCAAAGCAGCAATAATGAAAGGAATGACATTTTATACACTGAAGTCCAGAATGAGGAATTTCTGTATATACATATGAGTTGTGACTAGACATGAGGACGAATAAAAAAACAGACAGGCTGCCCCCACCAACCCCCTCCCCCGCACCGCTTTCAGAGGTGCCCTTTTGAGAAAGTACTTTTGAAAAACTGAGTACACAAACTGATGGAGAATTTAGATTAGGATTAAAGTGTTTCTTCCTTCACACTCCATTTTTTATCTTACTTTTAACAACATACTGAACATAAATACAATTAGACAAAGGCCAAAATCCAGTTGCTTAGCACAGTAAATTGCACTAGACAAGGCACACTGAATCAACAGGAATTCTGTGAGTTAACTCCTTTTTAAGCTCCATTGATTCAAGTGGGCTTGCTCTGACTGCAATTTACCATGCCAAAGTAAGCTGCAGTTCGAGCAGGCCTATTTGAATCAATGGTACTTGTGGAGGAGCTGACTCGCCAAATCCCCATTGATTTAATGGGCCTGCAATGCCAGCATAGACTAACATGGCTACTTTTTCTAAAATCATACTAAGCAACAAGATGTTGCCCAATGGAAGTGAAACTGGTTTGAACAGAGTTTAATTCCCAGTGTGTTTATAAGTACAGAGTATTATTTAAAGCCAGCTGTCATTCCACTAAAGCTTTCATTAAAAGAAGTCTTAAGCTTTCTTTAACGTTTTCAGGAAGAGACATGCAATTTAAAGAAACTAAAAGGATACACAGCATATTCTCACCTCGCATTCTTGTTCTCTGGCAGAACAGGATTCACTGTCTCCCTCTGTATCTGTTTCAGAATCTCCTTCCAAATTAATCACACAGGTATAGGGATATTGTTCTGGTTGGGGCTCTGGAACACAGTCCCCACTGTTGGTATCAGTACTGTTCTCGTTGCTTAGGTTACTGATGAAGGGGCACACAACAGAGCTCAAAGTTGTAAAAGTTCGTGGAGGACCATGCTCAGGACTGTCACTGATCCGGATACCTAACCAAGGACACTCGGTTTTCTTTTCTGCACAACCTTGCTCTAAAAATTCTTTAGGTGAAGCTGGAGACAGGTTTACTTGACATGCAGTGTCTGTGTTATAAACATCACTCCAAAATCCTTTTGCTAGTTGTTCTGCTATCTCCCTCTCCACACTGCTACGACTGCTGGGTGAAGCACAGCTCATGTTTCCTCTGTCACACAACTGAGATTTCAAAGGTGGGCCCTCCTCGGCAATTTCACTGACTGGATTGCAATCTCCAGCTCCGGTAACAATGGCCATTTTTTCAGCCCCATCTGTATTGCTCTGCATACCACTCAAAGTCAAGTTACAATACTGATCATATGCATTTAAGAATGAAGGGGGATAAGCAGAAATAGAAGAATTATGGGTGTCAAAAGAACAATCCATCTTCTCTGTAGAACATTCAATGCTCTGAAGTACAGAAACTGACTCTTTCAATAACTCTTCTTTTCCAGGTTCTTCCATTACTGACGGAGCATCTGAGTATCTTGGAACTGGATGCACGGTTACACATTCAAGAGATTTTTGTACAGCACCACTGGTATTTGAGTCCGTTGGATGAAGGGATGCAGAAGATGTTACCTGGATATCTTTAATACTGGAACTGGTCTCCACAATAGGGACTTTATCACTCCCTATAGCTTTCTGGAACTTCCTATATTTGGGGCACTGGGAATCTAAACCAGGGGCAAAACCCCTTTCTGATACAGACTCACATGCCTGATTAGTATGGTCCTGCAAAAAAGACACTTCTACATGTTGCTGGTCTTCACAGGCCTTCGGCTGAGGGTTCTGAACGCATTCGTTTGGCAAACCATTCCCATCATTTGCTTCGAAATCCTCATCAATTGGCATACCTATTTTACGCTTCTCTTTCTGCCAGTGTGATTGACAACATTTCTTTTTGGGACATTCCCGCCACCCTGGGTTAAGGTCCAGAAACTTGAATTTGAGAAAATGAAAGCAAGATTCCTCGATGTCATGTATTCCCAAAAACTCAGCACATTTGCAAACGTCAGCCACATTGTCTTTATCCAAAATAAGTTTAGAAGTATACGCAAATTGAAGCAAAGGAGCAAATCCTTTCAATGTAACCTGTTGGGACATGAGGAAAAAGAACAGCAGAAAAGAATATATGTCAAATTTCTTGCCCCCAAAATGCTATATAGGAAAACACATACATGAAATTCAATTCTCCCTGTCTAGCAATGTTGTCAGATACTAATAATAATAATTAAAACTACTTTTAATTAACTATTACTTGCTTTTTTAAAAAAAAATCTAGGCTTATACACAGTATTTTTTGTGACAAAGAATTTATCATATATCAAAAGGGCTAGACAATAGCCACAAAGACAAACATCAACTACAGTGTAAAAACTACTGTAAACTAAAAACTAAATAATGTAAGATCAGTCAGTGTCACATATTTTATTTGAAAATGAAATATGGGACAAAATTCTTTGGTTACAAAGAATCCTGTTGCAAAGAATATTGTTTAACTCTCTTTGCCACACTATAAATTCTGTCAAGCTTCTTGCATTCCATAGTCAGGCAAAAACTAGAAAGAACAATGTCAACTGAGAAGCAGCAAATAGTTACAATTTTTTTTAATTTTACTGCATTTCATAGAAATATTTTTGATCTACAAATGGTTCAGTACAAAAGTGCTATACTGGATTTTCCTGATCATGTTCAGCAAATTTACAAGGAGGGCTAGCACTCTAGCTCTCTTCCGTCATTTCTTCGACTGCCGTCACATATGTGGAGGATGTGGAGAGTGACTGAGAGAGCCTCCTGCACCTATGGGGCTCTCCATGTAAGTTACAACTCTAAGATGTCCAGTTACTAATTCCCAGCAAATCCCCATGAATACAGATGGATCTCCACCTTCATGTACAAAAAGATAATGCCACTAGGAATGGAAGGGACAAGGCTACACTTACTGTTTGTGTGCCAAACACAATAAGGAATGCCTGAAAAGTGCTAACTCAGTACCTGTGAATCCATTTCTGTTAATAGGATATCCTAATACTCTAATCTGAAACACAGATGTTGAGAAGAAGGTTACAGAGTGTGGTGGGAGGGAGAGAAAGGTGAGTATGATCCTGAACATTGCAACCTATATAGCAGAAGTAGTGTAAGGGCCAATGTTCAGACTTGCTGGTATCCTGTGGGGGGTGGCACTGAAGGGAATATTCTGCAATGTATCGTGTTTTTAAATGTAGTGGTTATGTAATGTAAAATTTGCTGCAGTGGATTTTCATTAACAGAAAAATGTGTTTAATTTTAAAAATCAAAGTAAATCATGTCGCTTATACACCACCCCATAGTGCTTAAAGCACTCTCTGGATGGTTTACAATGATGCAGGCTACACACTGCTGTCCCAGTGAGCTGGGCACTCAATTTCCCAACCAACTGGTGATTTTATAATTTTTTTTTTAAACTGGGAGCATGAAGGATCCAGGGTCACAGCACTGCCTCATAACCTAGAGAATGCACAGCAACTCCTGAGCAATCTGCACCCCAAATTAAAAGACTTGTATGTATGTGTGAGAGAGACAAGAACCATCACTTATTCTACCCAGCAACAAAAAAGGGAAAGGTTAAATATAAACAAAAATAGAAATAAATTAAAAGAGAAAAGCTGTGCTTCTGAGGTGTTTAAGAAGGCTAGGGCAGTGGTGAGTAACAGATTTGAGAGAAAACCAAAGGCAAAAATCAATAGACAGTAGTGCTGAATCCAATACATAGAAAAGGAAAAATGGTTATAAAGACCAAGAAGTGTTATAAAGGGAAACAGATGTTTACCCTCATGAACAGAACAATAAAGACTGCAAAGTAAGTAACTTAGAGTGTAGAGAAATCAGTAATAAACCTCTGACTCATGATGATGAGATAGAGAAAACAGATAAAGGAGAAATATTAATGAATAACGTAGATGGAAAGGATCAGTACAAAATGCCACTCAGAGATATAAAAGCATCCGTTTATTCACTGTCAGTTTCAAAAAGAGGAATGAACAGTGATACAGAATCCAAGACAGTGGCTAATGCCTTAGTAAACACCAATGGTAAATCAGGATTTCCGAATGAGTTTGTTTTGGTTTTAAGTAGGAACTTTACTTCAAAATTAACACAAGCAGTACTGTGATAGGAAGGTCAAGATTTGGTGACTTACATAACTATGGTTCTTGATGGTCCATGTATTCACACACAGGGGTTCTGTGCCTGCACAGATCTCACTTCGGAATGTTCCAGAGCCTCAAAAATGAAGTGCCCTTCTGCCTATATCTCGTGTGCATGGCCCTCCTTTCCTCAGTCCCAATTGTTCTCCACTAGAAAAAATTGGAAGGGCAAAACAAGAGGGGAGATGGGAGGGATATGTAGATACATGGATCACCACTCGAAGAACCATAGTTACATAAATAACCAAGCCTTCTTTGTCGTGGTGTCCATATATGCACACATAGGGGTGATTAGCAAGCTAATGGTGTCCATATATGCACACATAAAGGGTGATTAGCAAGCTAGTTTTTGAGGTGGGGATTACACCAGGAGTGATGACAGAACAGCCCTAGCAAAAGCAGAATCTCTCTGAGCCTTGAGATCTCGTCTATATTGTGTGACAAAGGTTACAGGTTGGAACCATGTGGCTGCCTGACAGATGTCTTGAATGTCTACATGATGCATAAAGGCAGTAGAGGAAGAGATTCCTCTGGTAGAGTGGCTGCAGAATGCCTGTAAAGGGCGGGGGGCCCTCATCGTCAAGTTCATAGGCCAAGGCCACAGCTAGGGAAATTCATTTGGAGAAGCATTGGGAGGAAATAGGTTGTCTTTTTTGGGGGGCCTTGATAGGAAATGAAAAGCTTGGTCATTTGTCTAAAGTCTTTTGTTCTGTCTAGGTAGAAGGTCAGCACTCTGTGGACATCCAAGGAGTGGAGGGATCGTTCCAGGTTGTTCTGCTGAAACAGACAGAAGGTAGGTATTATAATAGGTTGAGACATGCAAAAATGAGACGGTACCTTGGGGAGGAAGGTAATGTCAGTGTGGTGAGTGACCTTATTGCAGGAGAAAACGATGTAGGGTGAGACACATTGAAGAGCTGTAAGCTCTGCGGCCTGATGTGTTGATGTTGTGAGCACTACCAAGAGTGCGACCTTGAGAGATAGAAGGGAGAACCTTGTAGCCAGTGGTTCAAAGGGAGGCTTGGTAAGCTGGGAAAGATCTAGTGGGACTGCTATGATTGCCAGGTAAAATGTTATTTATGTTTTCTTGCTCAAATGTGGAAGGCAAACAGCATAGGATTTATTCACTTCTAGCCCGCAATGATCAAGTCCCCACAGGGATCCTTGAGCACCTGTCAAGCCAGTGAGTACATGGATGTCCGGCAATCCTAGCAATAACTCATTAATTGCCAATTAGAAGCAATTGAATGTTATGCCATTTGCTCTCTGCATATATGACAAAGCTAGTGGATTTCAGCTTTTTTGTCACAGAAGTGAGATTCCAAAGCCCTCAACAATGATTTCACTAATTGGCTTGCAAGTGTACCCAAATTATAATAGTTGTGCATTTATTACATTTATAGTGTATCTTTTTTAAACAGAACACAAGATAGTGTACATGGACCCATCTAGGTACTGACTACTCCAAGGCTTGCTTTGCTTCCATTTTATCAGTTTCAAATCAATCCTAGGTAAGCCTAATAGGTTTTGATAAGATTTGTAAGTAAATGCATGCTGAATTAATGGATCTTAAGATGTACACACTATGTGAAGCATTCTACTGGAGTGTAGCTTTTCCAGAGATAGACGCCTATGTTCTTTCTCTACTGACGGCAGAGTATATCAAAGAAAGAAGACAGCACGACACATAGTAAAGGGAAGACACAGGAAGTGTCCCAGATGGGCCACGAGATATATAGCAAGAAAGTCACAAGTTTCTTCTAGCACTATTATACCGGTGCTTGACTGAAGCGCTGCCACTGCTTTGCGTGGGTTATGATTCTTGTGGGAAAAAGAGCTAGAATGTAAACATGAACAAAAAGAACTCTGATTGCTACATAACCCATGAATACGTGAGTGAAGGAACTGGAGGAATATTGTGAGGCAAAATACATCACAGTGGCCTGTGCTATACATTTTAAAATTTATTGTAAGAATTCTGCATAATTACACATTATAACTTTTTTCCTTTAATGGTCAAAGGAAAGTAATACGAAAAAGTGACAAAAATGAAATTTCAAGGAGCAGAATTTAGAGGAAGTACATGCAGAATGTTTGCATAGCACAAGAAGTTCTTCTTGCCAATTTCAGAATTAATGTAACTGTGGTTATTCTAGAGAATTGACTACACAGTGGTTTGAGAATCACTGAGGTTTCACTCTGGCTCTTACTTATCTCCTCTGATCCTCAAGACATATTTAGCAATGCCATATATACTGAATTTAAATGAAAGCCTGGAGGACTAACAAAGACCCATAGATATATCTCTGCTGTTTTATTTGCAGTTAATTTATAAACTAAGGGGACAACCCTGTGAGCTCAGAGTGAATTTACACAAGCAGAGATAGGTATGCAAGGTGTAATCAGAGCAAGGGGGAAAGATAAAGCAAGACACTGCATTTCTATTTTTCCTATTACCTTTATCTCGTATGGAGAAACACCTACACAGTTTTAATCTTAAATGCAGAAGGTTATTGGAAACTCTTCTATTTTGTGCAAATCCTACCCCCATCAAAATAACAACAGAAGTAAAAAAAATTCAAAGGCCAAAATCCTCTTGCATAGTAATTTTTGGAAGCAGATTACCTCAAGTTCAGGAATCATCACAGACATTTTCAGTTCAAACAATGAGGCAGACAGGTTAGTATGCAACAGAAATTGTATTTATATAGTGAATTATTAACGTGAAGCAATTCTCCAAAGGTTGTGCAGTTTGTGTTATGCCAGCATTACTAGGCAAGAGAATTTGGGCCATTTAATCATTCTTGACATACTGAGAAACCTCTACTTGCAACTGCATGTTTTTCTGTAACAGTCATTCTTCAACAAACTACAGGCAAACCACCCATGGGTGAGAATGTCTTTGATCTTGGGGAATAAGAATTCTCAGGCAGGATACTAGTAGATTAAAGGATGTATATGGGTTGACAGAAAAGCTTGAATAAATTTGTAGGAGTATCTGTCTTCTTTAGTTCTGAATGAATGTTACAAGAAATAATAACTGGAAATACTACAGATCTGATAGGTGGGCTGAAGGAGGGGTATCCCCATACCATTTTTAATTTTTTCCATTTGCTGTTCATTTTGGTTCCTTCTCTTTGTTAAAGACAAAGCTGTTTCTCTTATTCCCTGTATGTGTTCCGATCCACTTTATATTCTTGCCCACTAGGTAGTTATTTTTATTTAATATTATTAGTGTGGAATGCCTCTAGCTATAGCACCTATATTACTCTGAGTGTGAATAAAATGTAACAAGAAGAACAAATAGATATTGTACCTCACATAGGAACAGCTCAAGCACTTACCTCTTCAGGCAAAGTAATGATAAGATCTTGTTCTAACTGACCCACAATTCTTGAGCGGAAATAGAGGCTGCAGGCTGCAAGCATAGAGCGATGGGCCCGAAATCGTTGATCTTCTACTAAGATGGTAACATCACAAAAAAGATCTTGTTTCCTTTGTTCATCAAGGCTAAGCAGAACATTGGCACTGTGTACTGAAGACTCATAAGCAAAAACCACACTATTCCGTTCGCTTAAAGGCATTCTGTAACACAAATGTTGACGAAGGTCTCAGAAGAAAACATGCTTCTAGTCTTCACACCTGAAATAGATTTTATTTATTTATAAACTGCTTTAAAAATGGAAATCTTCAAAACCAATACAATTATTATAGCCTATTTGGGATCTCGGTCCATTTCTTGAACATTTATATCAAGTTTTGCACACTAGCCCTGATTATTTCTGTTGAAGAGACTAATTCTGCAACACTTCTGAATACAGTTAATAATACAACTTAGTACAACATAGTAGAATTTATCATCAAAAAACTTTGTAGAACATATGGCCACCACTGAACAAGGTTGTCCAAAGGAAATCAGTCAATAGCAGATGCCTTTCACATCCTCTGCCAGTCATCTACAGAAGGGAGTAGCATAAAATTCCCATGTGGGATCCCTCCTTACCATTGCTGAGATGCCAAACAGATATACTGTACTGTTTTCCTAGGCTATTAAGGATAGCTCATATTAGCATTGTTAACTGAACACGATTTTAACTTTGCTATCTTAATGGGCTTGCATGCTTTATTGTACAATCTGTTCTCTTTATTGCACTCTTCTCTCCTACTGTTTTGTTAGCCAGCTGGAGGTGCAAGTTTATGTCAAAGGTGCAAGCTATAAACTATGTAGACAAAAAGAAAATAGGACACTCATGCTATATAAAGGCACTCAAAAAAAAAAAATCAGGGAAGGAAAGGATCATTATGTTTCCCACAAAAATTGCTAATGCTACTTACTTAGGCAGTGCCAAATCAGAAAGAGAGGAAGGGGTTATTTCACAGATCAGTTTCTAAGAACAGAAACATCCTAGTTTGAAATCACAGGCTGACCATCTGTGGCATTGTACAAATCCCCATATGTATATTACAACACTTAAACAAGAGATCAACAACATGAACTTTTTATGTGTGTGTGTGTGTGTACACACACACACACACAAACACACACAGAGTGGCACCTCGACTTACGAACGCTCCTACATATGAACAATTCAACTTACGAACAGCTCCGTTCACAAAATTTTGCTTTGACTTTCAAATGGAGCTTTGATTTATGAACAAAAAACCACGGAAAAAGTGGGAAATGGACTTTTGACTGCCTGGCACTGTAATTTTAAAATGTAAGAATTGGTTTAAAAGGTGCTTGGTTTGGTTTAAAGCTGCTTGATTTTAAAGGTGTTTTGTTTAAAAGTTGTTTGTTCCCTCCCTCCCTCCTTTCCTGCCGTTTTTTTAACCTTAGGTCATCTTAGGTTTAAAAAATTCCCCCTAGTGGTAGAGGACGGATTAACTGCTTTTGCATTCGTTCCTATGGGAATGAATGCTTCGACTTACAAATGGCATCTCTACATAAGAACAAAAAACAGCTGAAACGGATTAATCGTTTTCAATTCCTATGGGAAATGCTGATTTGATTTATGAACATTTTGACTTACAAACATCATTCCATTATGGATTAGAGACGGGCACAAATTGATTCAGGCCAGTTCCTCATCTGATTGGTCAACTGCTAGAAGAGGCAAGGAATGGAAGCCCAGGCTCCAGTTCGAACTGCAGCATATTTATTAACAGAATTGTTTCCATCAGCAAAATCTGGAGGGGTGCTTCTCCTCTGCCACTGCGAACTCTCTATGCACTTAAAAAAAAAACACTCTGGAGGACTGAGAACCCCTTTGGATGCCTACTAGGTGTGCCGGAGGAGGGGAGAGAAAGGGCATTCAGGTCTTGGTGCTGCAGTGACAATTCAACTGGCTTTTAGATCACAAATCTTTACTTGTAACAGTTTTACACTGGACCTCAGGCAAAATCTGCTCCTACTTAAAGTATCTAATACACTTGTAGACTTACTCTGTTTAATAAAAAGCCAAACAAAAAACACTTTATAATGACAATGCATAACTGTGCATGAGGCTAAAAATGTACAGAGAAAACCTAAAGAAACTGAAAAAGGGAAGTTGTAAACCACAAAGATACAGATAAAAATTCATCTACCCATATTCCACATAGAGCTTTATTCTGACTTATGACAGATTTTCTGATGAACTGAGTAGCAAAAGGTTCCTGATTATTAGTTTTCTATCACTCAAGTTAATTTGAGATGTGTTACTGATAAAGAATTTGGCAATCATACTTCGTCTGATAAGAGAACTTCAGTAATATGCTCTGTGTGGGCTGTTTTAGAACACCATTCTCAAATTTCAGCTAGTACAAAAGATAGTAGCATCTAATACAGTAAGGTCATCAACAGTTTGAAAACAAAATTGCTTTAGAATCTATACTGGCTATACTGTGTCTCATTGTCTGGACACAATTTGAAGTACTGGCTCAATCTAGTTGTGCCTCTTACCTTATCTCTTTTATTCCACTGCATGCCTCATAATAACCCAAACATGCACTTTTGCTCATATTTTCTGTTTCACAAAACAGCAAATTTGACGCAGAAATATTCCAAGTAACTATTTGACACTGAAGGGTTCCCCTTCTATGGAGGCAATGTCAAAACCTGAGCCATATTTTTCAAAAAGAATTAAAGAGCTCATTTCTAGACTGTTTAGGAATTCATGAGGGAATTTTCACCGTATAGTCATCTTCAACCATATATTTTATTTTGAAGATATATTTATTTTAAAGATATTCCCATAGCCCTGAGAAGCATTGTTGACCATAGGATTCTTTGGACATCACTAAATCATAATTTCACCATACGCTGGAAGCAACATGATGGTACAAAACCACAACAAAATGGTGGAGAACCATTTTAGAGTTCAGAGTCAAACTGCTCTTATGAGAAGTGACTGAAGACTGCATAGGTGGGAAAGGTCAAAGCCAGTGCTGCTACTTTAAGCCATACAAATTATTATTCATTGGCAGAAGTCTCCATCTGTTTAACTGTAATGTTTTCGCATAGTATGTGTCAATGTAGAAAAGTCAATGTAGTTGTATGATAATGTGCATATAATAAAGGTGCATAATTTTGTTATTCTCAAACTTTTGTTCAATCCCAGCAGAACATGGCTCTCCAAAAGTTTACAAATCTAAGATTATAGTGTACCATCCTCTGGTTTTGTAGACTATGCTGTACTCCAAACCAGACTACTGTACACTTCTCACTTACAAAATACTGGGGTTAGGGGCATTGGACCCCCCCTATATAGTTCAAAATCCATGTATAACTCTTATGCCCCTAAAAATGTAATTACAAAGCATAAACAGCTGATTCACACACACACATACATGCAGCTAAAGGACAGAAAAAGACTTTATCAGAAGGAGAAAACAGAGGCACAATATCTCCCCCACCCCCCATGGAGCAGCAACGTGCTGTGACTTCCCCTGACCTGTGTCAGGCTTCTGGCATACCCCAGACCCCTGCCTGGCTAGGAGAGGGGCTGGCCAGGACGCTGCATTTGGACTGGGGACCACCACATTGCCAAAAACAGGACCTTGGTAAGTCCGAGATCCACTTTTCTCAGTCTACTTCCTCAAGATGAACAGCAGTATAGTATTTGTTGATTGATCGATCAATCGATCATACCTATTCAGGAAAAATCCATGTATAAACAAAATAGTCCTGCTCAAATCCATGCAATTCAAGGGAGAAGTGTACTTCTTCATTCACGTCAGAAGCAAACCAATGGTGTTTCTGGAGCAAAAGGACTTCTTCATTCACGTCAGAACAAACCAATGGTGTTTCTGGAGCAAAAGGATCAGCCGACAGATCCTGCTGTTGCCCAGGGAACACCTGAATATGTTCACAGTTATCACATGTTTAAGGGAGGCTCCTTCTGTGTCCATCAGCATACTGTACTAACTATATGCAAGAGCTTTATGATAGGAAGTGTTCAGCTGAAAATGGTTTAATGGTGTACTTAGTAGATAGCCTTTGAATTTTGGAAGCACAAGAAATTGAAATGAATTAATTGCTAGAGAAAAAGGATCAGTTTTCAAAACAAAACTGACAAATCCCCAATTAAACAGGATTACTCATTTGCTGGTTTAGTTGTTGTTGTCGTTTTCCTTTCTTTTATATAGGACAATATTTTCTACACAGCTAGGAGGTATTTCCTTCCATTCAGAGTCGAGAGAAAAAAACACTACTATATTAATAAAAATCTTTGCTACTATTTAATGTGTGGAATCTTCGGATATTCTTGAGCACTCAACATCTGAAAAGCTTTTAACCATCTCTATCAGTTATATCAATTTTCATAATCCCATACCTAGGAACCATACTTTGCAGTTTTGTCAGAATGTATCTTTATATTCACCATCTTGCAGATTTCATCCAGTACATCAGTTCTGTAATAGCAAGCAAAGCAATATTTCAACTCACTGCTTTGCTGAAGCTCATTATGGAATGTAGCCAGTGTTTTCCTATCACCTGTTCCATCAAAATAATCTGTTCAAAAGACAGATCTGCTGCTTTCTCCATGCCCCTGAAGCCAAAGTTGAATTTTACTCAAGCTGAGAAATTTCTTCCGTATGTCTGGTTAAACGATTTTTGCTGACAGAGGTCAAATTGTGCAATCTTGTTGCTGAAGTAGATTTGTAGGGCTGTAACTTGAACCTTAACAGATTTTTTAAGGATGAAAGTTGTTTAAATGAGGAGGTATTAATTTTGAAGTGGCACAGAGATATAAATATAAAGAGCATAATCCTACAAATTCATAAAGCTAGTTGTTGCCAACTTTGTAAACATTGTTTTAAAATCCTACTTCCTATGGGAATGCCAAACATTGATTTGAAAAATCTGACACCTGGAGTAAACTGATATAATGTGTTAATATAGGAAGGCCAGATCACTTGAATTAAGGGGGAAATGATCAAACAGTGCTCATGTGCAATGTATTTGCAGTATATCTGTAGCTTTCCACTCCAACACAAATTATGGCTTTCAACCAAATGCTGTTCTCCTCCAGGCATATTTTGATGGCACAAAAGTGTTGTTCTCTCTCTGCTTTTCCCTGTTCAATTAGCTTAGTCTCCCCCTTACTCCCACAGATTTATCACTAAATGGATCAGGATACCATCCTTTATCAAGGACATAA